GCGCTCTCCCAGCCCTGTCCATTCCTGCAGCCCCCACTTCCCAGGGCCTGAGCAGAGCATTTCCTCGTGCACTGCTCACACATCTGTTAGCTATCATGGTGCTGCCAGGCTCTGCGCTCAGCTATTTCAATGCGCGGCACCAATGGTGCTGGGAAGCAGCAAGGCTGCAGCTTGGCTGGGTGCTCTGTGTGTTCACGGTGCTCTTGTGGGCCCCCAAAGCCTCATGTGATGCTGCAGCTGATGGCTTCGGGGGGGGACATGGCACACGCAGCACTGAGCCCAAGGGATGCACATTTTGGGTGGCCTGTGTTGATGCCACCCTGCAGCCCTGCAGCCACATGGGATGGGGTTTTCTCCCCATGGTGGGCTTGTTCTGGTGAAGGGAAAGGCAAGATCAGGCCCTCAGCCTTGGGAAAACCCAACAAGCTCCATTCTGGTCCCCAAATGCTGGTGACCCACATGATTCCACCATGCTTCTTGCACTAAAGACAGGCTGTGTCAAAAAGCAGCTTTGTGCTGCACAGCAGCTGGCAGAAGGCTCCAAGCACAGCCCTGCAGGGATGCAGAATGATGCCAAGGACCCCCCCAGTTCATTTGGGCATTTGGGCCACGATGGGTGCCCACACCATCGCCAGCGATGGAGGATGCTCCCAGAGCACCTCTGTGCAGGATGCTGTCCAAACCCATCCATCTGCAGTGCTGGGTGGTTGCTGGCTGGTGCAGCGGCAGCCCCACGACCATAAAGCAGCCAGCTGCTGCCTGTCAGTGAGTGGAGCTAAGACCCTCCCGGGACGGCCTTGGCCTCTTTTTTGGTACGGGCTTTTTGCTGCTCCTTTATAACAGAGACACTTTTCCCCCAGCAAAACTGGCAGCCTGTAAAAACGTGTCAGCGTTTCAGTTTTTTCACAATTAATGAGGTGAAACATCCTCGGAAACATTTCGCTGTAATGTTTCTCCGGTAGCTGAGACTTTACCCCTCTCTTAAATTTTTAACGTCCGCCACTTGATCCGAGAAAGTTTCCTTCGGACTCAGCACATTTGGACCCCCCCAGTCTCTCCTGCTCCCATTGAGCTGCTGGATTTCTGGGATACAGGGAGCTGGGGCTGGGCTGGAGGGACAGGGAGTGGCTGTGGGATGGGATGGGGCAGCAGGAGAGCCCCAAGGAGGTTGGCAGCCCCAGACCTCCATCCCCGTGCCCTTGGGATGCTCCTGAGGTGGGTTTGGATGATGCAGCAAAGGGTCCTGAGCAAAGGCTGCTTCTCACCTTCCTTGGGCTTTTGGAGGTGATTTGGGGATATCAGCACCAGCAGTGGGGTGGGTGCTTCCCATCTTTGCTCCTGTGCCCCACCAGGGGACAGACCCCATCCCTGCTGTGTCTCCATCCTCTGCCACGCTCATGGCCAAGCACAAAACCAACGCAACGTGCCCACACCTTCAGCCCGTGAGCTGTGGGGAAAAGGGATCTGGAGCACGGGGAACCCCCGGGGGGTGGAAATTCCCAGGGCAGAGAGCTCTGCTCAACCCCATCACGACCTCATGGGCAGTGCTTCCAAGGAACCGGTTAATGGAGCACATGGAGCTCGCTGGACGTCATCGCTGGAGCACGCCTTGCTTCCCTGGAGTATATAAAGGGATGAAGGGAGTCCACATGTTTACCGAGAGAGACCATGGGAGAAACGAAAGACATTGTTTTTCCAAAGGATTTCTTGGCTGTAAAAGTCCTCCACCACCCTGCGGCTTCCCTGATGAAGGCCCAGCGTTAATTTGTTAAATCCACATCAAGTGCCCGGAGAACCAGTTGTTTATTTTTGCTAATTCAGCCGGCAGAGATCAAATTGGGGTTTTATTTGTTAAGGATAAACCTTAATTAATAAAAGCTATTTATTTGGTTAGAGCCGGCTGCAGCCTGAGGGTCAGATATGCCATGATCATTATTTCAAGTAAAACAAACCCAAAACGTCTCTCAACAGTTTGAAAAACGTAGAAACTTAGAGGGCTGAATTTATTTGTCTTAGGAAGAATTTACAGCTAATTCCCTCCAGGCTATTTCAACCCTTAAATTATACCCGAGAAGAAGAAAGAAGGAAGGGAAAAAAAAAAAAAGCCAACACAAAAATGCCATTCCAGGAGGAGCAGGAAAGTAAATGGTACTACAGATTGGATCATCTGGGGGGGGAGGTTGGAATTTCAGGCTTAAAGGTCTTTGGCAAACAAGTGGAACGTGCGAAATAATGCAACGGCAAAAAGCTGCATCCTGTATGGGGCTCTGGGGGTTGGCGATGGGAAATGGAAGATGTGAGCATCCCAGAGAGGTGGGGACGGCATCACTGGGTGCTGGAGGTTGGAAGTCAAAGCAGAGCTGGGGTGGAAATCCAGCGCCAGCATCTGTGCTGCAGTGCGCATCACCCACTTACAGCCCTCACCGGTGGCCGGTTTGGGGCTCCTGACACATCATTGCTATGGAAAACACAGGGAAAGAGGGCAAGAGCTGGAAAAGCGAGCTTGCTCCGTGCTCAGCTAAATCAACAAACCCTGACCCAGCAGCACTGGGGCCATTGGTTTTGCAAATGGTGCATGACCATGCGCTCCCCGCTCTGCTCTGCGGGGCTGTTCTCTGTGGTCTTGGTGTCCTGGGGGCTGGAACCATGGGACACGTCCTGCCATGAGCCATGGGGCTGCTGAGCCCCCCCCATCCTTCCATCCCCAATGTCATCCTTCATTATTCAGTAACGTTATCCCTCCGTTTCCCCCTTTCCCCTGCATTCGTTTTTCTCCCTTTGGCGGAAATTGTAATCAGTGGAAAGTAAATACACCAAAGGGAAAGCAGGAGTTGCTGAGAGGTCCCCTCTGACCACTGCTTGGACAATCAAGCCAATGCCTCCACCACACTGCCATCAAACCCCCCCAAATTATAGCTGACAAATGCAAGGGTTTGGCTTTCACCAAAATCTCCCCCCAGCCACCTCAAGTAATGCTTTTTTGGGGGCGAAAGCGACACGTTGTTGAGCTGTTATTGACTTTGGGCAACTAAACGGCTCTTATTCTTGGAAATAAGAGGTGCAGAAATTCAGGGTGCAGAAATGTTATTCCCCCGTGAAGGTTATGGTGAATTTGGCTGTGGCGAATTTTGCTCCCCTGGTGAGTAGCAGGGCGGTTTGTGATGCTCACCTCTGTAAATCTATCCTTGTTTATCCTTGATGGAAGTGGTGACTGCCGCCAGCGAGGGCAGCATTTATCTGGTCCTGTGGTCCCATGGCTGGGAAGGGCTCCATGGTGGGGTTGATGGGGACAAGATGCGCGTTCATCACTGAGCCTCATCTCCAAGCACAGCAGAGGACGTGGGCATTTAAGGAGAGGAGATTTAAGAAATCCTATTTTCTCTCAGCCAATTTAAGGCAGGCAAGAGAAGCCATCACTTATGGAAAAGTCATAAAATCACAGAGTCAGTCGGGTTGGAAAAGCCCTCATAGATCCCCATGCCCAGCCCACCCCCCCATGCCCGCAGCGCCACATCTCCACTGGAACACCTCCATGGACGGTGACCCCCAACCCCAGGCCAGTCTGTGCCACTGCATCACCACTCTTTCTGGGCACAATTTTTCCCTACTATCCAACCTGAGCTTCAGATCCAACAGCCAGAATTTATACCAGGATGAAAATCAAATGGGGTTAATTAATTTTATTTATACATTTCATCGGATTCTGTTGAGGGCCGTTGGCTTCTAACCCCAGGGTTTTGACCCAAGCTTTGGTCCCATTCACTGCTGGATCCTGCTGATGGCACCCAGCTCAGTCCCAGCCCTGGGAAGCTCTGGATCAACCACGGCTGGACTCCGTGTATTTTAATCCAGCATCTCGTTCGCTCGCTGAGGAAAAACAGGACCAAAAAAGGAGTTTAACTAAAAGGGGCAACTGGAAAGCGGAGATGGGCAGAGCATTTGGAGCAGCAGAAACGAGAGCTGGAGGGAATCTGGGGAATTTTATTTGTGAGCCTTCACGCGGACTGCGGCAAAGAGCAGCCTGCATTCTCCCAGCTGGGAAAGAGGCCCCGAACCCGTGCGTATCTCAGGCACCAGCCCTCACCCTACCGAGAAGATCGTGTCCCATCTCGGGCTGCATGGGCCATGCCTGGCACAAAGAGACCGGAGGGTCTCTTGAGAACCTGATGGCAGAGGTTTTATGGTTATTCAGAATTATAGGCCAAGATGATCTCAAAACGTCTAATTTCTTCCTGCTCGGTATTGCCTCGAAGAAGGAGAGTTAATATCCCATCCAGCAGATTTTGTTCCTTGCTCAGGAATCATCCCCAAATGCTGCACATCTATTTAATAACTACCAAGATAGTTTATTAGCAAGTATTTATTTCCTCTGCACACTCAGGGAGCAGTAATTCCTGCCATCGCGGCCTCTGCATGGATACAGAACAGAAAACCCCAATATAACCCTGCTATGAATCAGAGCGATGCCATAAAACTATTAACATCTCAAATAATTCCAAAATACTTTCCCACCAGTAGGTACAGATTGGATCCAGATGCTTTATTAATGGAAAAAAATAATTACCCAGTACCTCCACGAGGAATACCAACAGCAAGATGTCTTTCCCGTGAAGGCAGGGATTGGGTATCAATTCTTTTTCCTGTAAGTTTGCCTAAACTTGATGACCTTAGCGACAAAAAATCAGATTTATCTCAGCCTGGCAGAAAGCCCAAGGTGGATGTGGTGAAACCAATCTGTGTCGTACACTTGGTGCTTCCATAGGCAAGCAAAGGCAGAAATAAGCATGGAGGAAGCTGAGCTCCAAGAGCCGTGGTTGTGTTTGCTCCTGGTGTGTGGATGAGGTTCGGTTCCACATGCTGCAGCTCCACGGGGATGGGAGATGGGGATGGGAGATCTCTGAGATGTTTCATGGTTGAATTCATTGCTGTCTGTGAAGACTGAATCTTTAGAAGCTGGGTTCTGCGGAGTCTCACGGGACTTTTGCTGTGATTTCCCCCAGGTGAGAGCCTGAGCCCGAGCCGTGGAGTGGCCAAGAGGAAGAAGAAGCAGAGGAGGAACCGCACCACGTTCAACAGCAGCCAACTGCAGGCTCTGGAGAGGGTCTTTGAGCGGACACATTACCCCGACGCCTTCGTGCGGGAGGAGCTGGCCAGGAGGGTGAACCTCAGCGAGGCGAGAGTCCAGGTGGGATAGACATCTCCACCTCCATCCCCACACAGCACCAGGGTCTGGGTGGTGGGAAGGACAACGGGGACATCTCCGCTCAACCCAGGCCTTGTTAACACCTCCCCTTCCCTTCTCAGGTTTGGTTTCAGAACCGGAGGGCCAAGTTTCGCCGTAACGAGAGGGCGATGTTGGCCAACAGATCGGCGTCGCTCCTCAAGTCCTACAGCCAGGAAGCTGCCATCGAGCAGCCCATGGCACCGCGGCCCACTGCGCTCAGCCCCGAGTACCTCTCGTGGAGCAGCTCCTCCCCGTACAGGTGGGTGCAGGACGTGGGACCACCCCCATGTCCCTGGGAGCCCTGTGCTGTTGGTGGGGACGCAAAGAGCTTTGCAGGGCTAACAAAATGAGAGGTGGGATGTCACTGGGGGCTACCTTGGGAACTCCTGCCAGCCCCCCCCCCCAAGCGTTTTCTGGATGGGAGGACGCCTGGTCCTCATGAGGGACCCTGTTGGCCTGCACTGACCCTTCCCACATCCTAACCCAAGAGGGGGAGTGGGACCCTTCAGTTCCCAGCTCTCCAAAAGCGGAGGGCATGGCTTCCTGGCACATACTTTGAGGGGTTCCCACATGCATACAGCCACATAAAAATGCTACAGAGCTCTTGTGGGAGACGGCCAAGAGGGAGCCATCAACACAGCCTGGGAAGCCAGCGGGATGTGTGGGCTCCCCATGGGCTGTGTCTCACCCCGCTCCGCTCCCCCCGCAGCACTGTGCCGTCCTACAGCTCCAGCGGGACCGCGACGCCCACCCAAGGGGTGAACATGGCCAACAGCATCGCCAGCCTGCGCCTCAAAGCCAAAGAGTTCAGCCTGCATCAGAACCAAGTGCCGACTGTGAACTGACCGGGGAAAATCCCCATGGCCTCATCCAGGACTCGACGTGGGGATCCTGTACTGATCGGCACCAACCCGCTGCCCGCCCCATGCACTGCTCGTCTGATGTCCCAGCACCTCTCCTCTCCTCTTCCCTCTTGAAGGTGGCGTCAAGTCCCAGTCTGAAGTGGCACATCGCTATAGCCACATATGGAGCAAACTTGGTTAGAAACTTGCTTTTCTGCACACCCTTATAATAAAGGCTATATATACACACACATACCCCCCACGCGCTCTTCGAGGACAAACAGACTTACCAAGCGAACAAGAATTTGCTTCCAAACATGGAAGGATCTTGGACTTTTGGATTTGACCAATTTGGGTATCTTGCCTGGAGAGCCAAAGAGTTATTGGGTCTTCCCCTCCCACAGGGACGGCACGCAGCGCTGGGACGATCGCGATGCTGCACGATGCCAATTTTTTGAGCCCCCCTTTATGCTGGGCCTTCACCTCCTCATGCACTGCCAGCCATGGGGCTCAGTGGGACCATTGAAAGCCAACAGCTGCGTCCTGGTGCCGTAAACTGAGGGGGGAACACATCGCCGCACCCCATCCAGGCACCACCACCCCACATCTGCGGGTTTGCCAGCAGTTCTGCAGAGCCCCAGGTCATTGAACCAGCCCAGGGAAAGAGAAAATTGGAAAAAGCTGTTGGTTTCAGCTGAGTAGGCGGCTCCCAGTGCTTCGTGCCAAGGGCAGAGCAGGCTTCGTCTTCCGGAGGCACAGCATCCCCAGCGGCCGCTCTGCAGATGGGCCACAGAATGCGGGGCTGGAGACTCCATGGGGTGTTTTCTATGTTTCTGAATAAAGGAAACTGTATTCCCCACCACGCCACACAGCCCAGTGAAGGGGCTCTCAATTGCAGGGTGGGCAGAAAACTTCCCTGCAGCAACGTGGGATGAGCCGGCGCTGGGGCAATAGGGGATTGACTCCATGGACAAAGCCAGTGGAGTGCTCCTCCCTCACCCACTGCAAGGAGCAGCAGCCAAGCAGCCAACTAAACCTATTCTAGGAGGGCTTTGTCCAGCCAGCATGGTGGGACCAATAACAAGTGAATGTAGCATTGGACCCAAGGATGGCTCACGACAGCCATCGAGATCAACACCCATCAGTATGCCATGCCAGGCCAAAAGCACCCAAACCACTTTGTATACACACCCAAGAGCCCCCACATCCTGCCCACAGGAGCTTTCTCTCCCTTTCTTACCAAGGAAAACCACATCTGGTCCTTGATGGCCATGGTGTCCCCTGGATGTGCCAAGTGGGGAGGGCAGAGCTCCTCAGAGTGCTGCAGTGAGACTTCATGGGGATCCCACAACGCTGAGCACTGCCATGTGGGCAGAGGAGCCCCTGCAGAGCAAAGCCCCCACCCCAAGGAACGGCACTGGGCCGGGGGGTCCCATTCCCATGGAAAGCATAGGGCTCTTCTTTTTTTTTTTGGTTATACAAGACGAAACCACAGGGATATAAATGTCGCTGCCTCTTTGAGAGCATTAATGAAAATAAACCCATTTAATAGTTTGCAGATGCCGTTTCTGTAAACCTAAAAAAAGCAGGGAATAAATATTTCTTCACTAAATATCTATATGTATATATATATTTGAAAACATGCGTTCCTAATCTTTGGGCCCCTCCCTCGCCACGCTCTTGGCTGCTTAAGGCGGAGCATCACTCAGCATCACAGCCTCACCGAGAGGGAAATCAGGGATCGTGGTCATGTCATCTGAGCTCTCTCCCTTTTCTATCTGTACATTGCAATGGCTTGTAACAAGATCCACAGTCGACTTTTGATTATTATTATTTTTTTTTTTGCATGTCTGTATTTTTTTGGAATTTTTTTGTAAAGGTTTTTTTGGTTTGGTTTTGTTTTTTTTTTTTTTTTTTTTAAAAAAAACTCTTGTGAAATAATGGAGGAATAAATATTTTACTGAGTAGAGATGTGTCTGTGCATGCAGAGCAGTGCTCACACCATTGGGGAGGGGGGCAATGTTGGGGTCCCATGGGGGCAGGGAAACTCGATCCCACATCCCAGTCCTACTGCTGGGCACAGGGGCTGGAAGTGCTGAACCCCCACAGCCAGGAGATCCCCCCAAAGCAGCACTGGGCATCCATGCTATCAGAACAACATCTCCCCCAGCACTGTGGCAGTGGGCTGAGGAAGGATGGGGCCAGGGGCAGAGCTCCTCCCTGCTAAATTGTCAGGTCCCATCCCTCAGCACAAATATGGGTGAAAGCCTTTGAGCACTCAGTAGTGCTCAACAGACATCATGGGCAAGCATCTGCTGCAGAAGTCCTGCTGGGATGTGCAATCATCTGCAGTCACAGCAGAGACCAGCATGTGGCCCAGCCTTGAGAACCAGACAGGAGATGCAGAAAGGAGATGTAGACGTGCTCAGAGGAGGTGGTCTCTCATGGCACACTGCGCTCAGAGCATGGACTCAGCGAGGGCTGAGCATCTCCAGTGCCAGGAGCTCACATCAGCACCAAGTGCAGCTTTTCCACACTCCATCCTTTGCACCGAGGTGGGCAGCACCACAGTGAGTCAGGTTCTGCAGCCTGCTAGCTAACATGGACCAGAAGGGCAGGAACATAGGAGTGAGCCACATAGGAATGAGCTGCAGGATCTGAGCTATGAAGTGGCAGGAAAAATGCAAGAGGTGCTTATGGAACCTGATGCTATTGCACAGGAGCATCAGGTTAACAGAGATCAAAACGAGCAAACAAGTGTTAGGAGTGCCCAGGAAAGGGTTAGAAAGTGTCCTCACAGCTGTCATAGAAAGCCACAGCACAGCTATGGCCTGAAATCCATCACCTCAAAACGTTGCAGAGGTCAAAGGTGCAAAATGGATTTGGAGAGGGTCAAGAAGTTAATGGTGGGTGGGACTGTGGCAGCAAAACATGGCCCAGATCCAACTGCAGAAGACCCTTTGAGGTGAAGATCTTACTGCTGCTCCCAGGGCAGATTCTCCATTGACTCATGACTATTTGCTGCTAGAAATATGTCATTTATTTCTTGCCTGTGCCATCCCAGCTCCACTTCAGCTCCTGTTAGAGCAGGAGGTCCCAACCCATGGTCTGAGGGCTCCTGGGAGACAGGAGCAGGGAGAACCACAGCCCGACTCCCTGCAATGAGACACCCAGGGTCAGAGCTGAACAGGGCTGTGAGCACCTGATGGAGCTGTGGGTGTCCCTGTTCACTGCAAGGAGCTGAACCAGAAGACCTTTAAGTGTCCCTTCTGACTCAGTAGATCACAGGGATGGATTTGCCACCTCTCCATCATCCAGCACAGACTCACTTCTCCTCCTTCTGCTTTCTGGTCTCCGTCCACACACCATTGCTTTCGTTGGAAGGCTGCAAGAACGTTGGTTGCAGATTGCATTTACTCCCCTGCAGCAGCTGCTTTGCATCCAGCTGACTCCCAGATGAGCTCTCAGCTGATGAAGGACCTCTCTCCCTTTGTCCCAGATCCTGCAGCCCTGTACTGCCTGAGTTTTCCCTACTGACCAAAAAAAGCCAGGTATCCCAGCCAGGTTACCCACAGCTTCTTTCTAAACCCCCCCAAAAAGCCACCCCACGGCTTCCCCGTCCCCAGCTCGGAGCCGCCCAGACCCCAAACCCCCGCCGTCCCCCCGGCACAGCGCTGTCCCCGGGCTGTGCCTCCCACGGCCACACGGGGGCGCTGCGGCTCCGCGTTGCTCAGCGCTGTCCCCAGGCGGGACGCGGGGCTGGGGACGCTGTTGGTGCCGCCGGCATTCCTGTACCCATGGGGCGGCGTGTCGTCGGTCTGACTGCAAGACCCAAGAACAGCATTTCCTCAAGGGGATTTGCATGGCGAAGCCCTACCGTGAGGAGGAGTAAGAGCAGAGCCTGAGGTTAGAGGTGACCTGGGCTGAGGTGTCCGGAAGGTGCAGGAGGGGCAGGGATGTGTCGCTGGGTCCGCACTTGCTTCCCCCATCCCACCTTCAGATTCCTCGGGCTCGGTGACGTTGGAGAGGAAGACACACGCTGGTGGAGTGAATCATACCCAAATCTTTAAGCACCGAACTTGGCAGACGTGCGATCCCAGGTGGGTTTTGCTGCATTACCATTTCAGCTGTAAGCCAGGTGTGAGAAACAACTGGTTGGCACAGCTCAAGCACTCGTGGGTACAGCCACCAGTGCCTCCCTCCGAGAGCTGCAGGGGACACTGGGGACACCGTCCTGCTTCGGGGGACAGCAGCCTGACATGCCCTTGGGAATAAAGCAGGGCACGAGGCTGCTCCTCATGTTGATGCACCGCAGCGGTGCAGTCCCAGCTCCAGTTCTGGCCATGCGGGGACGAGTTGGGCTCCATCCACACTCCCATCAGCTCCCAGCATTTCAAAATAGGCTCAGTGGCTGTGCCTCTTTGAAATTTGCCTCGTGGGCCTTTTCTATTTGTTTTTTTGAAGGCATTAGAGTTCACATTCCCAAGCTTTTCCCCCTGCAGCCAGTACAGCAGGGTTTATTTTTTTTAATAAAGAAAGAAGTAAGCAGAGCTCTGCAAATAACCTCAGCTTCCCTGAGCAGGGCATCACCCCCAGGCATTGGATAGGGGTTAGAGGGGGCTCTTAGATTTTCCTTCCCATCCCAAAGCCCCAATCCCCACAGCTACATCCCTACACACAGCAGCACGGACTGGATGGAGTCCATCTTATAAAGCACCGCCTTTCTTACTGGAAAACAAGAAGTAGTGAGGGAAAAAAAAATCTGTCACGTGGGACCATTTTGTCCATCTCAGCCATTAATGCGGATGCAGACACAGAAAGGCAGCACCTCCCAAACACCAACAGCTAAAGAAAATAGGAGGAAACCAAGGAAGCGAGGTGTTGGCTTCCTAGAGAAGGAAGGGACTGCTGAGCATGGAAAACACAGGCAGCTCCTTTGGAAGCTGTAAGCACAGAAAGGAGAGCAACCACACCTTAGCTGAACAGCTCCAGCCCTCCAGGATTTAAGCTTCTCCATTGGGAAGAAGTGCAGGCAGGGCACAGAGAGAGCTTGCTTGGAAAAAGCATCTTATAGCAAAAGCCTGCTTGGAGGAGAGCTGGGCACACACCAAACTTTGAGCTGCTCAAGGCAGGAGAACCAAGCATGGCTGCACTACAAGCCCCAGCATCTCTGAATTTAAAGGATTGGCCCTGATAATGCCAAGAGCTGCAGGTGGGCTGGGGGAAGGGTGCTCAGCTCTCCAGAAGCCTCAGGACGCTCCTGGCCCTGCGAGGCTCAGCGTTCCCTGCAGCTGGACCCGGCCCCAGCTGCTGCCCAGCTGCATCGGCAGCTCTCGAAGGAAGGATGTAGCAGAGCACAATGATTTGTTTTTATTGGGAATACTTGCTTCCTGCCACCAGGATGCATATGCAGCAGGAGGGAAACGTGCAGGGGTTTGGAGACCTTGTGCACCGTGTGAGGCAGCATGGGCTCACTGAAAGGGGTATTATGAAGACATCTGCTGAGCTGGGGCTGTGTGAGCAAGTGGGGACCAAGAGCAAACTGTGGGACCTGCAGCCCTCCTGCTGCACCCAGGAGAGCAGAGTGCTGTGCTCCAAATCTCCCAAAGAGCTCAGCCCAAGGCCATGGCCACTGCTGGGCTGGGAGCCCTCTGTGAGCTGGGTGAAGCTCTGAGCATCTACCTGAGCTGCCCTGCTTCCCATTGATACTCAGTGGGGTCTTGGTGAGAGGATCCCAGAGGAGAGCACAGCAAAGGGAAGAGCTTTAGTGCTTAAGACAGGATTTTATTTTCTGCTCACTCTGCTTTCTCACTGCAATCTTAGCAAAGCTTTGCATTGTCCTCAGAGCCTTCCTCCTGCACTGCCCTCCATGGGGCTGCCCCAGCATCATCCCTAAGGACAGCTGTGTGGCACAGTAGGGTTGGCCATCCTCACGCAGCACAGAAGAACAGCAGAGCCCTCCTCCCAGGGCACAGCTTGGGATGCAAATTGAAAGCATCTCTCAGAGCATTTCCAGGCAGCGGCAGCACATGGCTGCAGGCACACAGCTCTCTGCAGGGCAGTGATTTCTGCGGGCTGCTCTCGCAGTCCCTGCTGCATCCTGTGTTGAGGTTGGGACCGGATCGAAAGCTTGTCTCCCTCCCTGCAAACACCCACATCCACCAACCAAGAGTTCTTGCAGAGCTGTGAGACCGTGGTGGTTTCTCCCTCCTGATTCTGCTGCTGATCAAGGGCAGCATTTCCCATCCCATGCTGGGTCACTGGTGCAGAAAATGTCTTTTCCTCTGATGACACCCCTTCCTCGAGGACAGGAACGAGGGAAAGCTGCTAGGCATCCCCTGCCTGCTCCCCCTGCCCCAATTTTAACAGCAGGCCCAGTGACCTTACCGAGGCCACCCCACACATCCCTGCAGCACCCACTCATGCCCCCACCAGGAACGTCTCAGTACTGGCACAGCTGAACAGAGCAGAATGGGGGCTTTGGTGCTCTGCTCAGTTGGGTGCTACCAATACGGGGCAGCTGCCAGGAGGATCTGCAGGGCCATGGAGAAGCAGGGCAGCTGTGCCACGCTGTATGCCACGGATCGTGTGGGAGCCCTCAGCTTCAGCAGGTAGGCCACGGTGTGCACGATGCGTCCCGCACAGAAGATGAAGAAGTGGATCCTGGCCACTGCAGGACTGGGCTCCAGCAGAGAGTACACAGCTCCGAGGAAGAGGAAGGGGAAGATGTTCTCCATGTCGTTGCGATGTGCCCTGTGAAGAGAAACAGGTTGCTCCTTCCCACCTGACTTCCAGCCTGCTGATGGGGTGAGCGCAGCTCCCGAAGGGCTCCGAGCCCCCCTGCATGCGAGTGGGGCCAGACTTGGGAAATGAAAGATGAGCT